TAAATTGTTTTGTTAGTTAATAATTTATTACTCTTAGGAAAGACCTTCAAGATACTTGAGATTTTAAGTTATTTGGTTTGTTAGCTTAGTTTCGGTACAATTCCAGGTCAAACATTGTCTGATTCTCTAACTTCAGATAAATAAATAGGTAATATCCATTTTGTATTTGTTTAATAAAGAATTATTAATTAATATTTTTGATAAATATTATTATTAAAAATATCGGTTAACTTATGGGCGGCAGTCAATAGAAAAGGGGATCTAAATTATGATAAAATTTTTTTATTGGTCCACTTGATTGATCAACAGTCATGTGCTCAAAATTAGTTTAAGAACTAAAATTAGAAAAAATTTCAGATTTCCCCCTTTTTTACTGATGCCTCCCGTATTTCTTATAATTATTATTAAAAGTATTAAATAAATCTTAAAAACTAAACTATAACCTTTCTTGCGGAATATTTCTAAATGGGTGTTATTACGTTTTATAAATAAAAACATAGTTCACCAAGTCTGGTCCTTTTTACTGAAATAATATTGATTATACGCGTCAGAATATTATCGTTCGCTTAACTCTGAAGTCGCTGGAATCGTTGATCTAGAGTTGGAAAGTTAATCTTATTATTTAACCTACAATATATAGGACTCTACTATCCTTTACGGCGATACTAAGTCATCATTTTCTTCTGAATTCGAATTCGTTTATAAAAATCTCAGAACAAGTCAGTGTTGGCAAATTGCAATGTCATTTGCCTATTTTATAAATGACATTTGTCATTTCTCATAGTAAAATCAATGTCATTTGATGTCATTTAATGTCATTTCAATGTCATTTCAATATCATTTGACAACACTGGAACAAGTCGCTATCACCTTCATCACTACCTCTCTTCAATGTCATCTTGATCATATAAGGTTGTTTCGTTCATCATAGTTAACCAATTAAAATTTTTGAACCTTGGATCAAGGAATGTGGCAATTAAGGCGAGGCGATATCTACCTGAACTGCTTATTGATAGGTAAATTGCGACTCGAACTCTTTCAATCAACTAGTAGTGTCCACCAGTGCTCGATATTCCACTTAATTTGTATCTTATCTTATACAGTATTTTCAGAATGTGTTTATTCTTATTTCGGCCTAAACCACAACCACGACTACCTCCACCCATTCTTTGATGCAATTGTCAATGCGCGTATTGCCATTGCTGGCAAGTACCATCATCTAAATGATTTAAATTGAAATTCTATAGTTAAAAAAATTTTCTATCAAATTAAATATCAAAGTTAACTACAAATTAAATTAAAACATCAAGCTGAATTCCACCTCATTTTAGCATCTATTTAAAACATCAAGTGGACTTCAACGAAATCATCTTAATTTGATTAGATACACCGTGTCTCGCTTAACCTTTGTATAATTTGCGAACGTTCGTGAATTCACAGAAAAACAAACACAAGGAACCTCTCAACATTTTCGAGATCAAATATTGACGACTTTATAGCTCGAGACGTTCTAAACGAATTATGAAAAGATCCTGAACAGTACCGATATAAACAAGCTCAAAAAATGTGGGCACGATGGACCAGCTTGTAATATTAATAAAGGAGGCATTTAAAATCCATTATATTAAACAACAAGCGCCATTCTTCGAAATGATATTAAGAATTCTCATACGAAACTTTAACATTAGATTTGTTGCATTATTTTTCTAATACAATCAATACAATTTGATTATAGTATTAAGCCTTATTTTTCAAACGCAAAATTTAATATTTTATTTCAATTTTTATTTCATTCAAATTTTCGAAAGTATTTTCCTTTTACAAGTTCAAAATTTTCAAATTTCTAAATGCTGAATTGATAAGTAAAGCTTTATATTTCCAAACAATTTTATTTTCAGACAATACACAATCTTAATATAATCGAATTCCTGCTTTAAAAAAATGTTTTTATCACAGAAAAAAAAATGTACACGAAAATCTTTATAGAATTTATAAATTTATAAAGTAATCTATAGTTAAAAAATAAACAAAGCCGTTAGCGTTAAGCTATATAATACATGCAAACAGTATTAATTGCAAAGTATTTGCAACTTAAAAAATTGTAATTTTGCGATTATATTTTTTACTAAAACTGCAATGATTGAAATATTTTTATACGTTGCTTTGAAATTTGTAAGATCATTTAAAAGTCGTTTTGCGACATCATGTATTCGACGAGTGAATTAAATGCTTAAATGATTTTATAAATAATTTTTCTTAAAAATATTAAATTTTTATAATGTTCATTAGACAATTTTGATAATCCAGAATCATGTTTTAAAAGTTTTTTTTTTTATCATTATTTAGATAAAAACCATAAAAAATTAATTCGTTAACATGTATCGAATGATTTACTTTTCATAACTTATATTATATAATTTATTTTTCATTACTTATATGTATTATTTATTATTATTGAAAGGCGTAGTATCGTAATAGTTAGCAATTTTATATAAATAAACTTGTAAGTTGACCTTGAGTCGACAGAGTTCTTCTAAAGAAGTTTTTGGATATAAGTCTTGGGACTAGACTTATAACTCTATAGTTCTAATAAAGATACTATTTACACTTTCAACTTTCTTCTTGTCTTCATTATAGGATTGATCGTGATAACTAACTACACAAGTGAATCGTGATAATAAATTTGTTAATCGTTTAATCGTTGAGATAATTGAGATTTTAAGATATTTAGTTTTTAGCTTGGTTTCGTACAATTCAAGGCGTAACAACGGGAAATACCTTCACTAAATATATCAGAAAAACTTGGAGTCGAATATCTTTCGAACTCCTCGAGAGAATTTAATGATGATATAAATGGAATTATGTATTAACAGCTTTTTTTGCGCAATGACGCTAAGTTATCAAATGTCATAAAAATATCTTTTCCTACTAATGAACATGATTTACTTCTCGCTAGTAAATATTAAAAATGATTTTATGAATAAGTAAGGAATTAAGCTTGTAAATAATAGATTCATCCAAATATACGTAGATGGAGGATAATGTTTCATAAAATAATTATGAACACGTTCTTTCACCAAAATTATTACAGGAATGTTCGCTTCGTCAAATTTCATTTAATTTAGCGAAAAGAGAAAAAGAAAATATATATTGTTAATTTAAGAGTAGACGGTTTAGAAATTTCTTTCTATACAAATAAATGTAAGGATAAAAAAGCCCGCGTGATTAAGAATGGATGAACCAGTCTTAATTTAGGCCGAATTTGAAAATATAAAATTTCGTGTTTTCCTGAAGATAAATTAAAAATCCAACATATGAATAAAAAACAGCAAATTTCGGACTAAAATTCGTTTTAATATTTCGAATTTAATAATATTAATATTTAATAAAGAAAATGCGATTAGGTACTTTATTTATCTATTTTCTTTATCAGATTTTTGAACCTCCGGAGAGTAATATTATTATTACTCAACACAATTATAGCATTTTAAATGAAACGAGAATGGCATCCTGTCATCATTCTTAGGAATTTTATCCCTCAACTTGTTAATATTTTATTAAAAATCAAATGTTTGTACGTTTATTTTTATCAATTAGTTGATTCGAGTTATAGCCCATACAATGATCAAAATAAAAAAATTCGAATTCTATTTAATGGCGCAGTAAGTGCGGCTATATAAAAAATCGGAAAGCATAAGATGTCAACCCACCCGCTCACGTTTTATAATTTCTCATTTGTGATATATTTATTAGATTTGAGAAAAATAATGGTGGAATGATCAAAAATAAACTGAGAAAAATAAAAATGATAAATCAAAAGTGGGAAAAAAATCAGAAAAAAAATAAAAGCTAAAAATAAATTAAGAAATAAACACATACCTGACCTGTTACCGCGTACTTCGAAGTGATCTATGCCGAAAAATGATTATTGAATCGCTGTCTCAAAGTGAAAGACCCAAAAGTCAATAAAATTAAAAAAAATAAAGAAACTAAAAATGAAATTGAGGAAAACACATCGCGTAATTACAAAAAAATAAAAAAAAATTCGGAAAATCTGATAGAAACTAAAATAAAATTTTTAAATTTTTCAGCATTAGTTCGGGCAAATAGATTTTAAATTCTCGTAATCCACCTTATCAGTTTTTTAAAAACTTGAAAATATTTTTATAGTATTGTATAAATAATAGCGCAAAAGCATTTGTCCAACCTTATTTTATATTGTGAATGTAAATTTTTTTTTTTTAATAATTTAAATTGTTTAACAATTAAACTTCCTGGTGATTGTCCTCGCGCTATAAATAAGGTCGAAACTCGAAAACGATTAATCATGGTTAATCACTTTTTTGAATCATTTCAACCTTTAGTCCCATATTGTCTTAAATTATCACTTGGAATATCCAAAATAACCACTTTAAATGTTTTAAATGGTAGATATTCTAAATTAACACAACATTTCTTAATAGTATTTAATTCCTAATTAAACTGTGTGAATTTGGGCATCCAAAGTGGTCCTTTGAGACGGATCGATGTGAACATTTGGATAACTCAAGTTAGTGCACATCCAAAACGATATTCGTGTTTGGGTATCAAAAAATTATTAATTTGGACATTAACGAATTTTTGCTACAACAATCTATATCAATTAAAGCTTTTAAAGTATGACTATCACTTGTATGGAACTTTAATTATTTTATTAGCTATTTGTATAGTAAATTAAACATTTATTTACTTACAATGACAATTTCAAATATCGTTAAGTTATTGAATTTTTAAGGTCGATCTAATGAAAACAAAAAAAATAAACATAGTTTAAAGGATTATTGGCTTTTCCTTAACACATTTCTGATTCTGAGAAATAAAAATATTCAACATTTACCGCAAAATTCACTTATATAAACAAAAACCACCATTTTTTATATACTTATTTTATTATTTAAAAAGCTTTATTTAAGAGATTAAAATGCCTTTGTTATAACCTTTTGAATCTCGTTAAAACTTATTTAAAATGAAGAAACTAAAAAGCAATATATTAATTAATAAATAAAAGATTTTAAGTTTGTGATTTATACGATCAAAATTTAAATAGACAAACTTACCATCTAATCCATCATAGGTAACAAATTGAATAGAATCATCAACTTGTGAATCGGGATCAGAATTATTATTCGTATGTTCTGTGTCATGTTTTATTTATAATTTGAAAAAATTAATTAAAATTATATTAATTATAGAAAAAAGTTTAATATAACATTTACTTTTGGTTGTTTCAACGTCAATATTTTTTCCAAAACCCATCTTCAAAAATTTTTTCAACACCTTTTTTAATAATTGGTCTTCCTGTTTCCAACATTTTTTATAAAGTTTTTCGTAGATCTCAGGTGTGCCCGCTATAGTAGTTTCGCGAGTTTCATGATAAGTAATAGCAATAAGAAGGTCTTGATTATTATTAAACTTATCTTCAAATGGAGGATGTCCGCTAGAAATTTCCCACATCAATACGCCAAAACTATAAATATTGAAAATTTTGATCGGAAAGTATTTGTGGTTCCATATAGGCGGCTTTACCAAAAAGACCAATATGCATCGTGGAATTATTTTCAACTTTTGAAATACCGAACTCTGTTATTTTGGCATTATCTTCATGAATAACTATATTCTTAGAGTGCTAAATTAAATTAAGTCATTAACAATTTACATAACTTTTACCAAATAAAGAAATTGAATGTAATATTTACAAGATCTCTGTGTAAAACATCTTCGTTATGCAAATAATTTATTCCATCTGCAATTTGAAAAGCTAATTTTTTTTATCATTCCAAGATAACTTTTCAAAATTATTCTCAAGGTAGCTTTGAAGATTACCACTATTTGCATATTCCATTACAGTATAAAGTTCATTTGAATCTGGATCTAATAAACAATTTTTAAATTAGCAAACAAAAATTCCTTTTATTAACATATAATTAACTTATTAAATTACCTTGACTAATACCTAAGAAACGTATAATGCGATTACTATAATTAAGGTGCAAATGTATTTTATCTCATAAATAAATGCGCCTAATTTATCATCATCACATTTAAATATACTTGTATTAGTTAACTTTTTACAGACAGTATAATTATTTGTTTTTGACCTAGTTGCTTTTATGATACTACCAAAGCCGCCTTCTCCAAGTGGTTCTAAATCAATTAACTCATCAAAATGTATGACTTTACCTTTATTAGCGCTTCTAAGACAGGTTCTTATATAGATCCTTTTCCTGTGAGTTTAGTTAGTCCTGATTTTGGTGGAGGAAAGGTTAGATATAATCCTTTGAAAAAGAAATACTTGTTGATCAAATCGAACATATTACTATTAACTTTATTTTTATTAAATTAAACAAATTAGTATAAATAATAAACTTTTAATTATTAATTCTTTAAACATACTTTTAATCGGTTTATTTATTAAACTCATCTTTGAGAATTCTTCCAATATTTCTGTAATAGTTGGTCTTTGCTCAGGTTCTTGATCCCAACATTTTTTATAAAGTTTTTCATAATCCTTAGGAGTATCTGGTATAGTATTTTCACGAGCTTCATTAGTAATAATAGCACAAATAGTTGCATAATTAAAATCTTTAAATGGAGGATATCCACTAGAAATTTCCCACATTAATACACCATAACTATAAATATCCGAAGGCTTAACATACTGAAAATTGTGATTACAAAGTATTTGTGGCTCTATATAAGTAGTTTTACCACAAGGACCGATGTGTGTAGTAGAATTATTTCTAATTTTTGAAGTACCAAACTCTGTAATTTTGGCATTATTGTTGTGAATAAGAATATTCTTGGAATGCTAAATAAGATTATATTATATAATTTTAAAAATTTTTTATAATTAATTTTAATAAATATAGATAAACATAATTAATAAAACTTACAAAATCTCTATGCAAAACATCTTCATTATACAAGTAATTTAATCCATTTGCAATTTGAATTGCTAATTTTTTTTTATTATACCAAGTTAAATTATTAAAATTATTTTTAAGATAATTTTGAAGATCGCCACCATTAGCATACTGCATTATAAGAAGATACTCATTTGTATTTGGATCTGCAATTAATAAATTAATAAATTATTTCTAAAAAAAAATCAATATAGTAATTAATATAATTACCTTGACTAATACCTAAACAATATATAATTTGATTACAATAATTAAGATATAAATGAATTTTTAATTTATAAATAAAAGCATCTAGATTAATAGAATTTGTAATTGTCAATCTTTTAAATACAATAAAATCATCAGTTTTCAACCAAGTTGCTTTTTATAATACTTTCAAAACCTCATTTTTCAAGTAATTCTAAATCAGTAAATTCATTAAAGAATATAAATTTAACTTGAATTTTTAAGGTTTTATTAATAAATTCAATTGCATCATTATTTTGATTAATATTTTGACTATTAGCTTCATATTTTCCAAAACTTCTTTTAGATTTATTTTCATTTTTTTCTAATCTTTAATATCATTCATATGCTTTTTCTAAATCTTTATTAATTCCTATTCCATTTATATAACAATTAATTATATTATAATGGATATCTTTATTATTATTTTCTGCAGCTTTTTGATATCAATAAAATGCTTGTTCTAACTTTACTTCAGTTCCTTTACTATTTTTATAGCATAAAGCTAAATTAAACATTGCATCATTATTATTTTCTGCAGCTTTTAAAACAAATAAAATGTCTTTTTTAAATTCATATCTATTCCTTTACCATTTTTATAGCAAAAAGCTAAATTATTCATTGCATTAATATTTTTATTTTCTGCTAGCTTTTTGATATCAATAAAATACCTTTTGTAAATTAATATTAATGCCTTTATTATTTTCATAACAAAAAGCTAAATAAAATATTACATCAACATTTCCATTTTTTGCAACTATTTGTTACCAATAAAATGCATTTTCTATATTAATATCAGTTTCTTTACCATTTTCATAATATAAAGCAAAATTAAACATTGCATTAACATTTTCATTTTCTGTAGCTTTTTGATACTAATAAAATGCTTTTTTTTAAATCAATATGAATTCCTTTACCATTATTATAATATAAAGTTAAATTAAATATTGAATTAATATTTTTATTTTTTGCAACTTTTGATACCAACAAAATGTCTTTTCTAAATCAATATCAGTTTCTTTATTATTTTTTATAACAAAAAGCTAAATTTATCATTGAATCAATATTTTTATTTTTTGCAATTTTTTGATACCAATAAAATGTCTTTTCTAAATCAATATTTGTTTCTTTACCATTTTTATAGTATAAAGTTAAAAAATGCATTGCATTAACATTTTCATTTACTGCAACTTTTTGATATTAATAAAATGTCTTTTCTAAATTAATATCAGTTTTTTTACCATTTTCATAATAAAAAGCTAAATAATGTATTGCATAAATATTCCCATTTTTGCAGCCTTTTGATACCAATAAAATGCCTTTTCTAAATTTATATCTATTTCTTTACCATTTTTATAACATAAAGCTAAATTATATATTGTGTTAATATTTCTATTTTCAGCAGCTTTTTGATACTAATAAAATGCTTTTTCTGATTTAATATTAATTCCTTTATTATTTTCATAACAAAAAGCTAATTTAAATATTACATTAACATTTCCTTTTTCTGCAGCATTTTAATACCAATATAATACCTATTTTAAAATCAATATCAGTTCCTTTACCATTTTTATAACAAAAAGCTAAACAATACATTAACATTTCCATTTTTTGTAGCTTTTTGATAATAAAATAATGATTTTTTTAAATTTATATCTGTTTTTTTATCATTTTCATAGTATAAAGCTAAATTATATATAGTATTAATATTAAAATTTTCAATTTCTGCAGCTTTTTGATACTAATAAAATAACTTTTCTAAATCAATATTTGTCTCTTTATCATTTTTATAATATAAAGTTAAATAATGCATTACATTAACATTTTCATTTTCTGTAGCTTTTTGATACCAATAAAATGCTTTTTTTAAATTAATATTTGTTTCTTTATTATTTTTATAAAATATTGCTAAATTAAATATTGCATTAACAAATCCATTATTTACAGATTTTTCATACCAATACAATGTCTTTTCTAAATCAATATTAGTTCCTTACCATTTTCATAATATAAAGCTAAATTAAACATTACATTAAAATTTTCATTTTTTATAGCTTTTTGATACCAATATAATGCTTTTTTTAAATTTAATTCTAATTTTTTACCATTTTCATAATATAAAGCTAAATTAAACATTGCATTATCAATTCCATTTTTTGCAGCTTTTGATACCAATAAATTATCATTTCTAAATTTATTTTAGTTTTTTTACCATTTTTATAACATTTTGCTAAATTAAACATTGCATTAGCAAATACATTTTCTGCAGCTTTTTGATATCAATAAAATGTTTCTTCTAAATCAATGTTAGATTCTTTGCCAAATTTATAGTAAAAAGCTAATCAATTCATTACATTGATATTTTCATTTTTTGCAGTTTTTGATACCAATAAAATGCTTTTTTTAAATTTATATTAGTTTCTTCACTATTTTTATAAAATATTGCTAAATTAAATATTACATTAACAAATCCATTATTTACAGATTTTTCATACTAATACAATACATTTTCTAAATCAATATTAGTTTTTTTATTATTTTCATAACAAAAAGCTAAATTTATCATTGAATCAATATTTTTATTTTTTACAGCAACTTTTGATACTAATAAATGCCTTTTCTAAATAAATATTTGTTCCTTTACCATTTTCATAGCAAAAAACTAAATAATGCATTGCATTAACTATTTCATTTTCTGCAACTTTTTGCATCCAACAAAATGCTAAATCTTTTTTGATTTCAATACCAAATCCTTTAATATAATATCTACTTAAGTATACTTGTGTAATAGGATATTATTGAGCTACTTTTAGAAAGTATATGAATCCTTCACTATTATTTTCATTTAAATTGAGCATATTGTAATAAGAAAAAATTCCAAAAAAGAGAACATTTTTTGATACATTTTGATTTTTTTTAAACCAGTTAAAAATATCTTCAGTTGATTGAATAGAAAGAGTAATGCATTTATTAAGAAAATGTTTCGTATTATTAAAATTTTTACCTTTATTTTGTATTTTAACCAATTGTATAAATAATTTATTAACTAAAATGTTTATATTATAAGTTGAATTAATTGTTACTTATATGTATAAGCATTTGTTATATTTTGCTTTAGGTTTTGTTATGCTTGTAAAAAATGTTTTTTATCATATAAGATAAATTCTCTATTTACAGAATAATTAAGAAATAAAGACTTTATATATATCTCTAAAATTAGAGTTATAAATAAAAAAGTTGGTAATATTTCTCTATATCAATGTTTATTTATACTATATAATTATATGCATACATTGCATATCAGTTCTTTGTAAAATTGAGATACTTTTATTGATAATCAAACATTTTAGGATATTTTTCTTAGTCATCACTTTTATATATACCAATTGGATTAGTGATAATAATTCAATAAAATATTTTGAAAGTAAATATCAAAAAAAAAATTTTTTATAATGAGTTGAATAATTATATCTATTTTAAAATAAAATAAACATCTTTATCACATCTATGGCAATACTGATTTTACAATATTTTGACTAAATTGAAATTATTAATATGTATCAATACTTAAAAAAAATACAAAGAGATGAGAAATTTAAATGACTTAAAATCTTTTAAAACTTCGCTAATAGCATGATAAGAGGTCAAGTTTTGATAACTTATTATAATTATTAGTTTGGAGTATAACGTATGACTATTAAATATGAAAATCAATATTACACATGTTTATCTATTCTCTACTCTTTGTTTTATTACTGATATATTACAATTACTTTATCATGTGAGGGAGGAATTGGTATTTCTAGTTTAGTTAGCAACAACTAAGCTCCTATTATAGGTTACACTGTAATGACCATAGGTTCAAGTCACAGCTAAGGCATAAAACTAGATGATTTTCATAAGAATTTTATATGTAACTGAATATGAGAGCGTATATACTAATATGCATTAGAAACTGGTTGATTGACCTATTGATTAGCATTAATCATATCTAAATACTAAAATTGTAAAATAAGTAGATGCAAATGAAGTCAGGGATCAACAAAAACTTAGCCTTCACTGATAGGCCTATAATGGGTACTATCTCACGTCTTCAATCTCAAGGGTCCTTACATAGATAAGGAAGTAATTAATTAGTAATTAGTAGATTTGGTAATATCTTGAAATACTCTTGAGGTAATTATAGTTGATAATAGATTGCATTGCACTACTGCAGTAACTATCCAATTAAGCTGTCAATTGAAAAAATATCAGGTTCAATTCCTAATGAGTTTGACAATATGAGTACAACAGCAACTTACCTTTTTAAAATCTTATAAAGATGATAACATCTAAGCCTTTCTGATCATATGTAAAACCCTGATATCAGGCAGAAGTCATAGTGATTTTGATTAGTATTAATAAAGACAGAAAAAATAATTAACTAAAAGTACCTGTAGCTGAAAGTGATCCCTTTATCCAAATTTGACAATAGTTCTAAGATCCAGTAACCTTAAAAGTTCTACTCCTAGAGGTCGCCTAGGTAGCAATCCTTAGACTAGTATATTAATAGGATTAGGACTAATAATTGAGTTAGTTAAGATCTTTCCAAAAATTGTGTCGACAGTAGTAAGAATTCACATGACTTATACATGTTATTCCTTCACCATATAACCCTTCTGATATATCGAATACTAAAAAAAAAGATTACTTTATTATGTGAGGATACCTGGATAGTAATTCTTAAACTAGTATATCAATAGGATTAGGCTGATAATTGAGTCAATCAAGATCTTCCTAGTAATTGTATTAGTAGTAATAAGGATTCACATGATTCATGCATGTTGTTTCTTCACTATTGATTTTTCTGGTATATCAAATACTAAAAAAAAAGATTACTTTATCATATGATT